GCTGCTGTGATTCTGACCCATTATTGTTAGGCTTGATTTAACGACCTAACTGGTAGAAGATAAACAAATACAGACTCTTTCCCTCAAGGGATATTATGAATAAAGCTCATTACTTAAGTTTGTTCAGTAATAGTAATAGAGATTTTTAGTGATAGAAGAAAAGATTTTTTTCCACCTTCAATTACTTTCCCCTGTAGGCTAAACAGAGATAGGGATCTTATTTCCTAAACCCAATACACTATTTGGGTTTGCTTTCAATAAAATATCTATGAAGTGTCTTCAGCATGATCCCTATTTAATGGGATTTAGTTGTAAAGCTTAATTCATATCAGATTTTCTAAATGAGAGATCACTGTCAACTTATTGTTAATTGAATTCAATAAAATCAAGGTTTCTATAATTAATGTGAGCCACTTAATCTTTTAGCTCCTTGAATGAAAATAATTTTCTAAACACAGGTATCTTCTCATTTGATGAAATAGCAACATTTTGAGGAAAATAAATGTATACTTGACTTCTTTTACTAATAGTTCTTAATAGCAAATTAAATATACCCACATCCTTTTAAAAGCATAATAAAAGAAAATTATAAAGTGTTAACAAGCTTCTTCAAAATATTAATTTTATACTGCCCAGAACATCAGTGCACTTAAGTAGAGTACTAGCGAAGCAGTGGCATACTATAGTGTAAAGAACAGTGGTGTCAGTGTCAGTAGAAACGGCTGATATCCCACCTGTGTCTCTGGCTACCTGGGTGGCCTCTCTGGCTTTTCTTACTGGTATCTGTCAGGCTGACTGATGGACTAGGTCGGATGACTCCAGTTTCTTTCAGTGTTAGAATTTTGTGATTCTTTATGCTGTATACTGTATGTGGTATGCGAAACTTCTACTTTTTGAGAATTTAAAATATTTACAAAATTGAACAGAATTGTATAGCAATAAAAATAAACATCCTCAGGTCAGTCGAGCCCCCTCAGTAATCCTTTATGGCCAGTCGCGCCCCTTCCATATCTTTACCCCTTCACTCTTCTGCTGTGTTGTTTATTATAAAATAAAGCTCACACATGAGCCTTCCTTTGTTAACACAATCCATTATCTGTACTGTAGCCCTGAGGTCATAGAAATTTTATTTTGCTTTTAACAAGCTTCAAATTGCCTCATTATTTATTTCATTTTAATTTTTAATTGATTTTTTATTTTTAAAATTTATTTAGCATTTTCTTTGGAGAACAAAAAGGCAGATATTTTGAAATACACTGCAAAGAGAAGCAGTGGGGAGACAGGAGAGGTCTTTTGTGCCTAATTGACTTTTTAAAAAATATAAATAAACATTTACATATAGAAATAATCAGCTCTATCGCATATACACTTTGCCCAATTTTCTCCAGTAATAGCATCTTACAAAACTATAGTATCATTAATATAATATCACAGCCTGGCTATTGGTGTTCATATACTCTACCAATATTATTCATATTTTTTGTTTTATCTGTGCATATTTGTGTGTGTATGTATTTGGCTCTAGATAATTTCTTCCCTGTGTAGGTTCAAATATCCATAGTCAAGCCACAGAAGAGTTCCTCACAAGTATTTCTTACATTGCCCTTTAATAACCATACCCACCTCTTTCTGCCACCCCTTAAGGTCCATTCTGCTCTCTTTTCATTTCTAAAATGTTATATAAATGGAATCATACCGTCTATAATCTTTTGGGATTGGCTTTTATCACTTGCATAATTCACCAGGTTATATCAATAGCTTGCTCTTTTTATTGCTAAGTGGTATGGAATGGCTGTATCACAGTTTTGTAATTATTGACCTATTGAAGAACATTTGAACTGTTGCAAGTTTTTGGCTCTTCTATATAAAACTGTTATGAACATTTGTGTACAGGTTTTTCATTTCTCTGGGATGAATGCCCAAGAGTGCAATTGGTGAGTTGTATGGTAATTACATGTTTAGTTTTATAAGAAGCTGCCATATGGTTTTCCAGAGAGACTGTACCATTTTATATTCCAGACAGTAATGTATGCATGATCTAGTTTCTCTATACCTTCACCATTTGATGGTGTTCCTATGTTTTAGCTGTTCTGATAGATGTGTAGCAATGTCTCATTAGTTTTAATTTATTTTTCCCTGATGGCTGATAATGTTGACTATCTTTTTCCAATGTTTACCTGCCATTTGTATATCATCCATTGGTGAGCTTTTGCATTTTCACTCTATTTACTTTTGTTCACTCTATTTACTTCTGGACTTTGGTGTTGCTGGTAAATTGCCTATGAAGTTTGTGATACTATACCTACATGAAAGAAAACAGATCTGCTACTGAAATAGAAAACATTGTTTACTAGGGGCCTCAGCTCCGTGCTAATGTCTCTGAAAATACAAAGGTGAATGACAAGAAACTTGATCTTGAAGTTGTAAAACTATCTGGCACTTTTAACTGGAAAGGGAAAAAGAAAATATGTGGAAGCCTGAGATTTCCAAATTACTGACATCAAGGGATAGGACTTACATTATCATCATAAAGATAACAGTGAGCAGACACCGGCCAAGAATTCAAAATCATTTAATATGAGTTATTAATGAGACCTTAATATGAGTTATTAATATACAAAGAGTTATTATTCAATAGGAACAAATGCAAACCAATTATCAGAAAAATAGGCAAAAGATAAGAACAGGAAAACCACAGAAAAATACAATACAAATTACCAATAGACCTGAGTAGATGTTCGCCTATGCTATATAAATCAAGAAACTAGAAGTTAAAAGAAAGCGTGGGCAGTTAAAAATTCATCAAATAGGTAAAAATTAAACATAAATAATTTGGGGTTTTATGGATTGTGGAAAAAGGTACATTCAAGGCATTTTGCTGGAAAAGAAGTTAGTATAGTCTTTTTCTGAGGATGGAGTGGCAGTATCAAGTGATATTTAAAATGTACATATGGTGTTGCCACCATCAGGGAGCTGCATCATGGATAAACAGGATTTTTTTTTTAAAGACATATTTATTTATGCATACAGAGCTGGGGTACAAGGCAGAGGTGCAGGGGTGGCGAGAGGATCGAACTAGCACTGAGGTGGCTGTGGCCAGCTTGCAGTGCTGAGTACTAACCCATTGTACCACCAGGAAGGGCCCGATAAGCAGGTTTTTAAGGATGTGGTTAAGGCAGTCATTGCAGTATTACAGTATTAATCATGGTAACAGGGTTTTATAGTAATCTAAGTAATATCAGTATCTAAAATAATCTAAAATATCTAGCAATATGCAATTTTTTAAAAGTGATGTCATAATCATACAGTGGAAGACAATGAAGTCACTCGGAGAAGCCAGATCTAAAGCACTGACATGGCAGGATGTGATAGCATATCCATGAGTGAATCAGCTAAGAGCACACACCCACACACATGACTATTTCAGAAGTTGGGGGTGAATGTCTATATATGTGTGTGTGTACGGATATGTGCTTGTAGGTCAAAAATTTTAAAATCTGGAAAAGTACATTGACCTGTTGAAAAAACAGGTCCTAAATCTGAGATAGAGAACTGCAGGGATGAAGAGAATGATACTTTGTATTACAGGCAATGTGTTTAGTGTTTGTCATTTTTTTTTTTAATCACAAAGATCTAATGTTTTCATGAAATTTAGAAAAGAAATGAAAGCTAAAGAGCTGATTTTGTCAAAAAGAAAGAAGTTGAGGAAAAAACTGCTTTCAAAAAAGATATAGATAGCTTTGCCTAATGAAAAATTAAAATAGACAAACAAAAACTCATTCCTGATATATTTTTAATTGTATGTATCTCAGAATATTTATTTCATGGATTCCTGCCCGGTTAATGCATTGAATTTAATTGATAATGTTTACTGGAGTTTCATGAAAAAAACTATTTTGTAAATAGCTCCAGTTGTGATTTATCTGGTATAATATCTCCCACAATGAACTGTGAGTGGGGAATTAGTAATGGAGATACCGATCTGAGTAGTCTGTAGCTTACTTATCTCCACAGGAAACCTTATTTCATATTGATAAAATTTGAAATCTTTCCTGTACCTCTTTCCTATTGTTCATTGTTGTTGTTACTGTTTTTAATGAGAAATACAAATGAACCAAATCAACCTGCTTCTTTCTTTTCTTCTACTAAATTAATTTCAAAGCACATTATTTAACTCAACTAAAAAAGTGAAGGTGGATGGAATCAGCGTCTGACTCAATGTATCCAATTAATTACTTCCAAGTTAAGATACATTCTTCAGAAAACCCCATACATAATAAAACATCAACCAGTAAAGAATGATTAGGTGAGATGTGAGCTGGCTGTAACCCTCTTTGATTATAAATTGCTGTTTAAGTTGATATTAATATTTGCCATCTACTCTATTATAAACCAAGATTTATTGTAGTAGTATACCAAAGATTGCACAATAATAATCAAAACAGATTCAGCTCAGGTTTTGAAATGCACCTAACAAACTCAACCTCTTGCAAAATAACTTTCTTATTCAAAATGGAACTGGGAATTGTTCAGTGCACAATGAATCATCTTTTGGCAAGTACAATAGAATCTTTAGGGACATTTCACAGCCTCTTGTTCAATTGTTAGGACGTTTTTAGCTTTCACAGGTAGGGAAGAAGATAGCTTGTATAGCCATCATCTTGTTGCTAAAATTGTACAGTAAAGATTTTTCAGAGTTGCTGTTGCACTAGATCTTTTTGCTCCCCCACCCCTTCTTCCTGTTTTCTCTACCCAGAACTGCTTTGTCTTTCAAAAACAATCTGGAATTACTTACTGCTAATATTTTCTGGTTTTACTATTTACTCAGGGCTCAAATGTTCAACATTAATGTGGGAAACTCCCTTTTCCTTACCTCATAGCCCTATATTTATTTAACTGTTATTTTGCAAAAAGCCTCATCTTTTCCTCTCCATTTTCGTGTACATTTTAAAATTGACAAACACACTTTGTTTTTGTTTCTCCTTTTTTCTTTTCCCCAGGAAGCTGTAGATTCACCCCTGGATGATTCTGAAGTGACTGAGCCTACAGCAGCAACCGAAGTGATTAAATATGAGTATCATGTCTTATATTCCTGTAGCTACCAAGTGCCTGTGCTTTACTTCAGGGCAAGCTTTTTAGGTAAGACCATATCAGAAGTGAAATGTAAATCCATCACAGTCACACAGAAGGCAGAAAGCATATTTGGAAAATTGTTTCTGAGAGAGAGAGAGAGAGAAAAAAAAAGAGTTAAGAATAAGGAAACTGGGTGAGGTAAGACTTTACCAGTAAATTTTCTCATGCTTTAGAAAGAGTATCAAGACTTCAGAGTGAATGATATCATCCCAGACTGAGTCTGATCTTCAGATTCTTGGCCTGATGCCCAACATTGCCTAAGCCCCCTGGCCCTTTTTCTTTTCTTTAAACAAGTAGGAACAACTTAAAGCTACAAGGTTTATTTACTTTTAACTTTACAGTAAAAATTTCTTTCAATGTTAAGGAGTCCCATTGACTCGACATCCCCCATGCCTCCTTCCCTAATGAGAAATAATGATTTCAAGAACTGTTTATCAGTTCGTTTAAGCTATACTTAAAAATAGCACTAACATTTCCTTTGGCCTTCTATACATCTCCAATGCTTTAGCTTCCTGCAATGCTGTTACTCAACTCACTCTCCTTGCCAAGAAGGTGGAACACCCTGTCTCCTCCCAGGCCTTTGCTAATAAAGCTTATTTAATCAGCAGCCGCATGGAGTCCTCACCCTGCAGCACACCCCTAACTCCCTCCTTCATGTCCTCCAACAAACCGGGTCAGCACTGCCAAGCCCTGCTGCCTGGGCTCTGGGACAAGGGAAGTTTTCTCCCCAGCTTATCCTCGTTCTCCTCTTCTATCTGACCTTATCAGCATTTTGCATTTTGAACAGCCTTTTAACTTTTTCTGGATAGCTAAGACATCTGAATTTAGCCAGTGATATTTTATTTTTAATTAAAAAGTAGCTTAAGCTGCTTTGAATGTGTATTTGGTAGATTTAATCACTTGCTGCCTTATATTGTTTAATGGTCTCTAATTTTGCAGTGTTGGGGGTTTAACAAGCACTTAGGATTTAAAACACAAGAACAAATTCTCATAGACTCCCTGGTGAGAAGATTTTAATCTGAGGTGCAGTTCCTAAGAACTGACGATTTGGGGTAAATTTTCAACATGGGACATGGGGAATTGAGGACACTGATCGTTCACTAATACAGAAAGTCTTGCTGCAGATTTATCCTTATGATTATTGCAGGCCTTAAAAAACACTCCTTTATTAGAGTTCTATTTGGTTTGGAACTCAGAGGTTGAAGGAGGTTCTTGGCAGTGATCTGTACTAGACTAAAATGCAGAAGGAGATGCATTTATTCACGGTGGTGAAGTGGGGGGGGAGGTGGGGTGTCAGAAAATGTCTGTCTTGATTTTGCTTTGCAGCGGCCTTACCCAGCAGACCTTCTCAATTCAAAGACATGTGGAAGCTGCAGGTAGAGGAAATAGGACACTATTTCTTCAATACTGTACTTTCATATAATTAGTATTCACCATAAGCAGTTAATCACCAGAGAAGAGCTCCCAGAGACAAAACAAGTTGTTTAGCTTGTCAGCATTAGGGAATCGGAGGTGTTGAAACATGACTGCTTCTAGCTGGAAGTGGGTCTTGCCCAGGCCGGCTATGAGCTCATAGCGTGCTTTGCTCTTGTGTGCCAACAGCTCCCCCTACAGTACAGCACAGAAATTGTTCTTGCAAGTCCAGGGATATTTTCCTATTTGTGTGCTTCCTAAGATCTTTTTTCATGATGGTTTTCTGTTTCTTAAAAAAAAAAATAAAAACTAGCATTCATGGGTGCTATTGATACACTTATAGTATCCCTTAAAAGTTATAGTTAATTTATAGCTAGTAAAGGAAAACCAAAGCATGTCATTAGTTCATGGAAGCGTTCCTGTTCTCCTCTCCCCAGGTTCTATGATGTATAGAATGAATAGTAGGAATTGTTAATTCCATAATTAATTTGATGTTTGCTAAGGTACACGAAAATATCAAATTGAAATTTTGCAAAACATACTGAATATTTTCTTGTAGCAAAACGTGAAAAATGTTTCTTCTTTTTAGCATATTCTATTAACTAATAATTCTTTTTTCTACCTAGCTTAACCTAATGGGTGTTCTAAAAATATATCACCCTGGAGTTACATTTTTTTATATGGCCCTCTCAATCCTTTACTTTTTCCCAGACAGATAATTATTTTGGTCCTTTATCTGTTTGTTAAACAAATGTCTGTCAGTGTGGTGAACAGATTCCTAATTCTTTTTCTTATTCCAGGTCCAGATTTTTCTTTGTCTCATTCTAAGAGATTTCGACCTAGAAAGAGGGTGACTATAAAATTTCTTGCCCAGGGGTCTTTTTTTTTTTCTTGGTTGCTTCAAAAATAGTTCATTTAGCCTTGTTTTTGACAGATATTTAGAATTCCTTCTAAATTGAATCTTACTAAAAATTAGTTTCCCTGTTTTGCTCTGTATTTTCTTCCTATATCTCTTTGAAGGAAAAAGCAAGTCGTAAGTAGTTCCCATTTCAATTGACATTATCTATTATTTCATCAACTGACTTAGATTGCCAAAATCTTTATTTAGTGGGCTATGATTTCCCCTTATTCTCTGTATTGTTCACTGCCCAAGAGGCTAACTGCTGCCTAAGACTAAGATACCATGCCACTTGATCTTGTCACTCCCGTGTCTTATATTACAACACAACACGTCCCATCGTATCATATATCAGGTCTCAAGTTGCCCTACAACAGAATTATTTGTGTATATGTCCACTATAAGTGGTAAACTAGAAAGGAGAACTTTAACGTAAGAAGAGAAAGGAAGGAAATAATATCGAGTGCCTACAACTTACAAAGTGATAAACATGGTTTTGTGTGTGTGTGTTTGTGTGCACTAGTGGTAGTAGTACATCTGTCTTATATATTATTTATCTCACTCCCTTTGATATTCACAGTATCAGCCATGGCAAAGCATCAACACGAATTTATTGAACGACACAATAATGAAGCATTTCTAACCTTTTTTTGAAAATGTAGTCCAAAGGGGGAAAAATATTTGAGGGTGTCTTACTTGAAATGCCTTATTTTTTTTTTTTAAGATTCATTTATGTATGCTTACAGAACTGGGGTACAGGCCAGAGGTGTGGTGGGTGAGACAGAGTGGGGAACAGAACAGGCAGATCTACGAAGTACACTGCTGAGGGGAGCAGCAGGGCGGGTCAGGAGAGGTCTGCGGAGCCACATGGGTCACCTCCCTGGCGGCAGGGTGGGGGTGGGGATCGAATTCATGCTGCAGTAGTTTCCGGATAGCTTCATAATGCAGAGCACACCAGAGAGAGAGTGCCTTATGAGTTTTAAGGAAGGAAGCAACACTATTGTCTCTAAGAGACTTGGTCCAAAACTTTACTGTTAGTCCGATGCTTGTCAGAGACAGCAGGAATATTTTGACAAAGCAAGTGTGACATCCTAAGGCCTTAAAGGTGGGCATCCCAACTAGCTTTGCAGGAGCCCTCCTTCTACCGACACCTTTGCAACATTTGATCCTCGAAGACAATGATCACACTGAGACAACATTTCACTTTGATTCCTTCTCATTTCCACGACTTGGTTTTCCCGGAGCTTAGTTTCCTAAAAGTAACATGGATTTAAGTGAAGAAATGAGTCCTTCCCAAAGTGCTTTCTCCCCCAAACTACTTTTGCCCCTTTAGCTTTGGTTGAGGTGGTAGTTAACATCCAGGTGGTAGTTTTCTACGTAGTAGGGTAAAGGGCAATTGCACGTCTATCAATTAATAATAAATAGTAAAATAATAATAAATATTCAAATGGTGCTTTATCATTTATGAAGTCCACTCTCAGACAGCACAGACATCTTCAAGAGTGCGTGCTCACCTCACCCTCACTAACTTTGAAGTGCCCTGTATTGAAGAATTATTTGTATCAGGCCAGATGTTTGCACCCACTTCCCATAATTCCATCATTTAAAAAAAAATTTTCCATCACCCTTTTTGCAGGTTTGGTCAAAGATAATAGGAAATGTTAGAAGTGGGGGAAAAAAAACAAAAAACAAAACCCAGTGATAATGCTTAGTAACTTGTGGCTTCACTAGAGTCCTAAGCTTCATATTTTCCCTTTTTAATACAATTAGAGACTTCTATATTTATTTCAGCCTCAATTCTGATTTTTGTTTTCCTTATCTCTTTTCATTGTTCTCAACCTCTCTTGAAAAAAATAGACCAAGTTATTCTTCGCATTTTCAAAATATTTAATTCTTTGTTTGACATATGGCTTCTTCTTGGAAACTCTTTTGGCATATTTCTTTAATTAGTCAGAAGGGCCACTTTTCAGTAGGGGAAGGAACATTTTTCATGCAGCAAATGAATGTCTGTTCCATCTGGAGATTCATTCTATAATTGGTTGAAGGAGTAAGAGTATAGAATTAAAAATATAACCATATAGTTCATGTAGAAGATTTGTCCATTTGTTATACATCTTAAGGATGCTCATGGATAAATAGGGTGAATGAAGTAGCCAAAGAATAATTGCTTTTCAAAGGCAGCATGAATTGAACCAAGATAAAGTCTGGCGCAAAGAAAGAATGATGGAAAGCTTGAAGTTAGGATAGTGTATAAATCATCAAGAAGGAGGAAGAAGGGGCTTGTCCATGTTCTTGAACAAGAGGAAATTTTTGGCATGCAGAGTGGAGAATAATAGGTATGAAGGGGATTGGTGGAAATTGGAGGGGGAAAAAGTAAAAATCCATAACACTGTCCAACATCTTCCAAGAAGTAACAGGTTGGCTTTTTGGAAGATGGAAAAGCACTGGAGAAAGTGACAAGCTGTGGGGCTGGAGAGAGCACAGCATACTTGGGGGCAGGGAGTGAGTCCTTTGGAAGAGGGCTTTCCTTAAGATAAGTTGGGGAAATAATGATTGAAAATATATGTTGAGATGAAGTTATGGAAGAGATCATGTCTGCAAGGAGTTGGAGTATATAAAGAGAAGAAAGTACAAAGAATAGAAAATTAAGGAAATAAGTCTGTCCCCCCCCCTTTCTTTTCTTTTCTTTCTTTTT